AGGTGGTCAGGCACTCCCATTTCTTTAAGGACTTGCCATAGTTTGCTGTGGTCCACACAGTCAAAGGCTTTTGCATAGTCTATGAAGCAGAAGTAGATGTTTTACTGGAGCTCTCTGGCTTTCTCCATAATCCAGCGCATGTTAGCAATTTGGTCTCAAGTTCCTCTGCCTCTTCGGAATCCAGCTTGTACTTCTGGGAGTTCTCGGTCCACATACTGCTGAAGCCCACCTTGGAGGATTTTGAGCATAACCTTGCTGGCGTGTGAAATGAGTGCAATTGTACAGTAGTTGGAGCATTCTCTGGCACTGCCTTTCTTTGGGATTGGGATATAGACTGATCTTTTCCAATCCTCTGGCCACTGTTGGGTTTTCCAAACTTGCTGGCATATTGAGTGTAGCATCTTAACAGTGTCATCTTTTAAGATTTTAAATAGTTCCGCTGGAATGCCATCACCTCCACTGGCCTTGTTGTTAGCCAGGCTTTCTAAGGCCCACTTGACTTCGCTCTCCAGGATGTCTGGCTCAAGGTCAGCAGCCACATTGTCTGGGTTGTCCGGGATATCCAAATCTTTCTGGTATAGTTCCTCTGTGTATTCTTGCCACCTCTTCTTGATGCCTTCTGCTTCTGTGAGGTCTCTCCCATTTTTGTCCCAGAGGTGGCCCCTGCCAATGTGCATATGCCAGTCTATCAGCCAGGCAGCGGACACATGGGCAGAGGCAGCAGCTGACTCCTGGAAGGGAAGCTCATTTTTGTCCCAGAGGTGGCCCCTGCCAACGTGCATATGGCAGTCCATCAGCCGGGCAGCGGGCACATGGGCAGAGGCAGCAGCTGGGCCTCCTGCCTCTGAAGATGGTGGTGGCGTCAGCGGCAGGTCGGGAGATCCACAGGGACTTGGCAACGTGATTCGAAAAAATGGGTCGAAGTCGCAAGTCGAGTCTGAATCTTCAGAAAAAAAATATATCCCTGAGTTGCGTCCAAGACAAGTCGCTGGTGTGACCTAAGTCATACTGGAGAGCAAATTGTGACTTGTGAATCCCCATCCGTGTATATTTGACAAATAAATAAACCTTGTCCTTGTTTTCTTAGATTACGGGGCACTGAGTCTCCCAACAGGGTCAAGGTTAAGTTATAGGTATTCCACATCCACAAACACGTTCCTTCAAGGCAGAGCTGACAAACGTAGCGGCATCTCCCTGGAAGCCACCGTAGTGGTTGAAGTGCTGGCAAAATGCCATTGTGTTTTACAAGTAAGTATGAGCGGCAAGACTTCAGAGAGCATCCTCTGGATGGAAAAATGTGCAGTTGGCATAAATGTGTGTAGCTGGAAAGCCAGTAAACGTGATCTTAGGGAAAAAAGTAGGAAGAGAAAATAGGCACGTTATACACTGGAGGCCAGTGTTGAATGGAAGGTTACGAAAGCACAAGAATACAGAAAGCCTTGCAGAAGCTTTGAAAGGCTTCAAAGGCTATTGTAGGTCTGGGAGGAGGGGAGCCCTCGGCCAGACTCTAACTGGTGGTGTTTGCTTGTGTTGAATGAAATTGCAGTGAATCACAGCAACAAATTGTTGCTAATTAATGACGTGCTGCTTATGTTTGTTTAAGATATTTTCACCCTGTCTTTCTCCTTAAAAGCACCCAAGGTGGCTTACAATCATTAAAAGACAATATTGAATGCTAAGAACAGGAAGTATACAAATACTAAAAACGGTAAACAAAAACAACACCAAAACACATTCAAAGCAATAAGGCACAACAATCCATTTAACAACCCCACTCGGGCAGCCAGTCACTGAGGGGAAACTTGCCTGAAGAGCAAGGTCTTCGCCTGCTTGTGGAAAAGGGAACAAAAATGGGGCCACTCTGGGAGAAGTGAAGTAGAAGGCCCTGTCCTCAAATGCACCTGGGCTGGGGTGGGGGAGAGAAAGGCCTCCCCTGATGATTCCTACCAGTCGGGCTTGCATCCCAAGCCACTGAGAGCTTTATAACTGTAGATTAGAACCAGCACTTGGAATGGGGCCTGGAAATGGATTGGCAGCCAGTGGAGCTGCTCTAACAGGTTGTTAGGTGATCACATAATCATAGAATTACAGGATACTGAAGTTGGCAGGGCCCTATAAAGCCACTGAATCCTACCCCCTGCTCAATACAAGAATCCAAATCAAAGCAGATCTGACAGGTGGTTGCTTAAATTTCACTTGAATGCTTCCAGTGCTGGAGCACTCACCACCTCTCGAGGTCATTAGTTCTATTGTCGTACTGCTCTAACAGTTGGGAAGTTTTTTTTCTGATATTCCCCTAAAATCTGGCTTCCTGTAACTTGAACCCATTGTTGCGTATTGTCTGCACTCTGGGATGATGGAGAACAGATCCTGTCCCTCCTCTGTATGAGAGCCTTTTAAGTATTTGAAAAGCGCTACCATATCTCCTATCAGTCTTCTTTTCTCAAGGCTAAACATGCCCAATTCTTTCAGGCTTTCCTCACAGGGCTTGGTTCTGCTTCGTGGTGTTCTCTGTGAATACACACTAATGGGTTAATCTGTGCCTAAGCAGAGCATCCTCAGAAACTTCTATCGCTTTAAGCACTTGGTGCCGGGACCTCTCATGTAGGCTATATAACCACCTCTGGCACCCAGTGCCTCAGTTCCTTTTGTGTCTGCAGCTGTAGCAGCTTGTTAGGAACTTTGCATGTTAAAAAAAACAATTCTAATCCTTACCTTTCCTTTCTCTTGACCTCCCTGGCTTGATCTTTCTTCAGTAACTGTGAGTAACCTGCATAAACAAATGGATAATTGTTAATTAGCCTCAATAAGAGGTTTGTTTAAACAAGTTGTTTCTTCTGCCTGGGGGAAGAGCAGCAGCCTGTGCTCTTTTGTCACAGCCGGCTTTGAAGCAGCCCCTCAGGGCTTTTGTCTGAGAAAAGTTTCTTTGGCCTTCTTAACAATTGCTCCATAAGGGGGGGGGCGGGAAGCTGCTTCGGAAGCCAAGGCAAACAGGCTCAGGAGCAACAACAACTGCATCCACCCCTTTGCAATCTTCCTCTTTGGCCTCAAAGTAGAAGAAGGCGGCATCTGAGGCTGCTAAGTCTGGCCCTAGTTTTGCCCTTGGGAGAAGAAAAGCACCCCCTGCAGCTCCCACCACCATCCCACCTGTCATTCATCAATGGGCTTGTTCACACAGCTGCAAAGTCTGCCGAGAGCTTGGCACCGAGGACGGAGATATCCCGGCAACATATGGTAGCCATAGATTTGCCCTTGGAAAAAGAAAGGGCCCCCTGCAGCTCCCACCACCATACCCACCTGTCAGTGATATTCCTGACTGGGGTAACACCTCTTTGGAGCTTGGTGAATTAGTGCAGAACGGCCCTCATTCATCAATGGTCTCGTTCACAAAGCAGCCTGCGGTCTCACTTCAGCCGCTGACGCCAGTGGAGGCTCATAGGAAAAGGACTCATAAGAGCCGACCCAATCGCAGGAACCCTGTGGCCGTCAGGTGGGCCCGAGAGGTTTTCCCTGTTTGTCAATGGGGTCCTATCACGCTGACAAGTTTGAGCGAGACCCGTCCTTTTATACAGACCCATATTTTCAGCTTTGGAGCTATGAGCCTTATCCGCCACCTTTTCTGCCGTCACCGCCTCTCCACGCTACCTGGCACCATTTTGAGCCACAAGCCGAGGAATGCCATGTGCCTCCACCTCCACCTCGAAAGAATAGTGCTCCCTTGAACTTGGCTCCAGCAGCGGGAGCAAAGCGTCCACAGGTTCGACTGAACCCGCAGTTAACCCATTCAGACTTCTCCCCAAATCGTCAGAAGGACTTACCTTGTTTGGATTGGGATTCACAAGAGTCAGAGGGGGAGGAAGATTTTCCAACCAGTCTTCCTACATCCATGTCAAGGAAGACAGATAAGGTGTTTGAGGACATTGTGCAGGACCAGACTCCACCCGTTCGTCTTGGATTCATCCCTTCCTTTTCCGAACTTATGAAGGACGCTTGGGCTAGGCCCTCTACTTCTTATCAAATCTCAAGGAGGGTTGAGATTTTATATAAGCTTTCTGGGACTGATGCTGTTTGCCTCTTGCAGCACCCTCTTCTGAACTCGTTCATAGTGGACAGCATGCAAGACAGAGCCTGGAATCGTTCAAATGCTTCTCCCTCCGATAAAGAAGGTTGTAAATTGGACATCTTTGGTCGGCGATTTTTATCTCTGGCCTCCTTTGTCCTTCATGTAGCCAATTACTCTGTTGCCATGGGCACTTATCATCGCCACTTACGGCATTTGGCACTGCCCATTCTGCAGGCAGCTCCTGAGGACCTTCGCAGTCAGGGCCTCTCATATCACCAGGAGGCAAGGAAGCTGGCACGTCACGTGCGCATTGCTGCTCGTCATGCCTTGGAAGCAGCATCCAAACAACTGGCCACTGCCATCTCTTTGTGGCGGCATGCTTGGCCAACATCTTCCAACATATCAGAAGACTCGAGGGCATGGGTCGAGGACCATCCGTTTGATGGAGTAGGGCTTTTTGAATATCATCAGAAAACTGATGATATTCTTGATAACCTGCTCAAGCTCCGGAAAATGGCACGGCCTTTTGCGCTGCAACAACCTCACACAAAGAGTACATGGGGACATTCCTATCAGCCTAGAGCATCCCAGGAACATCAAAGGCCCCAACCCCAAGGTTACCAACCGCCACCCCCTAGGCAGCGCCCTGGCCAACAAAACCGCAGGTAGCACCGCAAAACCAAGCAGTCTCTTTAATGCACCTGACTTCTCTGTCGTTGACCAATCGGGCCATTGAATTTGATATATTCCCTGTCACAGGCCACTTTAAGGCCATCCTCCCCTTTCCCCCTTTGGAAGATGAAATTCAGGCCCTGTTACAAAAAGATGCCATTGTTCCTTGGCACCACCCCCAAAAAGGATGGAGGCCTCCGGCCCATCCTTGACCTTAGAGGCCTGAATTCTTTCATTACTCCACAAAGATTCCGTATGGTTTCTCTGGACTCTGTTATTCACATATTACATCCAAGGGATTGGTTTACCATATTTGACCTGAAAGATGCTTATTTTCATGCTAGCATCCGGTCAGACCATCAACGCTTTCTCAAGTTTTCAGTTGGAGGAATCACTGTTTACCCATATTTGAATAACTGGCTCCTGGTCGCTGTGTCCAAATCACAAGCTTGTAAATACACGTCCTTGACACTGTCTCTTTTGTCAGCGTTAGGACTAAAGGTCAATATAGAGACGTCAACTTTGCAAACCTACACAACGTGTAAATTATATTGCTTCAACTTTGGATGCTTTCTTGGGGCAAGCTTTTCTCCCTGACAACAAGATTGTGAAAAAGCTTGGTGGTTATGCTCCTTTTCTTCAGGTGCTTGGATCCCTGCCTACAGGTCCAGCGACTTCTGAGGCCGACGGCATCTACACTTGTGATACAGCATATTCGACTGAAGATGGTATCTCTCACTCTTTTAGATGCCTTGCGACCACCCATCCACGTTGCTCCAGGTTACACTGGTACTTGCTGCACAACTGCACAGGTGGAGACCCCCCCCCAACCTACGGATACGGAGATGCTTTGGTCTCTTGACCCGGGTAGTTCAGTTAACTGAGGATACCAGCCCGTCAGGCTGGGGGGCTTGTCTATGCCCCCACGCTGTCCATGGCCGCTGGTCCACGATAGAAGCCGGGCTCCATATCGATGTGCTGAAGCTGCTGGCAATCACCAAGGCCTTTCGAGCCTTCGAGCCCCTACTCCGTGGTCGGATGGTCCAGGTCGCGTCGGACAATGCCGCTGCAGTTTATTATATAAACAAGCAGGGCAGCACTCACTTGATATGCCTTCTCTTTCACACCACCAACCTTTCGGAATGGTGTTATGCTCGCCACGTTTATCCAGTGGCTGTACAGTGGTGCCCCGCACAGCGAGGTTAATCCGTTCTGGATTAACCTTCGCTGTGGGAAACATCGCACTACGGAACAGAAAAAGGCATTGGAACACATTAAACAGCGTTTAATGCGTTCCAATGCCATAAAATACTTACCGTTGTGCGATGTTTCCCAGGGGCCGGCAGCCATTTTCGCGCCCTCCCCTCGCACAACGAGGGCGCCAAAA